ATACCTTTTTCTACATAGTGAGATCCTGTCTTAAAAAATAAAATCCTGTTTCCCATCCAGAATAATTATTTTAGCAGGTTCCTAAGTGAGATTTTTATTGTATATGTCTAAGGTCTGAAATACAAATAGCAATGCATATCAGTAATAGCTAGTTACTGTAGTGAAACAGGTCCACGTTTGTACCATTTCATGTAATTACTCTTATAATTTTCTTTTGTGCAAAGGGCACATACAATCTACTTATTTGGAAGGTGCTTCACCTTCAGTACACTTTGTTTTATCCATAAGCTTTATGTTGTTCCTTGCATCTCTAGTTGGTCTTCCTATATATTTGGTGTTTTGTTCTTTAATTTCTCAGCCCACTGTCCCACTACTTACTTTCTATCTATCTATCTATCTATCTATCTATCTATCTATCTATCTATCTATCTGTCTGTCTGTCTGTCTGTCTGTCTGTCTGTCTGTCTGTCTGTCTGTCTGTCTGTCTCTATCTATCTATCTATCTTTAATCTATTTTTTCTTTTAGATTCCATATTATAAGAGGAAATTATTTGATATTTTATTTCCTGTGTCTGGTTTATTTTACTTTTTTGCTTAGAATGAACTTCCTCAACTGTATCCATATTTTTGTGAACATCAGAACATCAGAATCTCTTTTCTTCTTAAGGATAAACAATATTTCATTGCCACTGTGAACAATAGATTTTTTTACATAGTTATTTCATTGTATGGTTTATCTGTCTTTAATTTGTATGGTTACCTTCATATTCTTCCCTTAATTGCTGTACCTATCTACATTTCCACCTAAACGTACAAGGGCTTTTTTGGGGGTCCATAATATGGTTAAGATTGTCTCTTTTAGTAACTTTCCTAACAGACATTATGGAGCAATTTATAGTAAATTTTATTTTCATCTTCTTAACCATAAATGACATCAAAAATATTTATGTCATTGAATCTTAGGCCCAATTTCTTTCTCTCTCTCTCTCTCTCTCTCTTTCTCTCTCTCTCTCTTTCTTCTTTCCTTCCTTCCTTCCTTCCGTCCTTCCTTCCTTCCTTCTTTTCTTCCTTCCTTCCTTTCTTTTCTTGTTCTTTTTTTTCTTTCTCAAAGCTTGCCCTCTGCTACATAATCCACAGCTTCATATACAGCTTTTTGGTTGTTAATTGGAGATAAGAGTTTCATGGATTTTCCTGTGCAGGCTGCCTTCCAGCCATGATCCTTACATTTCAGATTCCTGAGTAGCTAGGATTACAGGTGTGAGTCACCAGTGGCTGGTTTGCCCCCCCCCCTCGCCTTTTTTGTCACTTGTGGTGCTTGATCTCTGGGACTAGGCACTGTCCCTGAGCTCTTCAGCTCAAGGAGAACAGTCTATCACTAGAGCCAAAATAGCTTCTGGTTTTCTGGTGGTTAATTGAAGATAAGAGTCTCACAGACTTTCCTGCTTGAACTGGCTTTGAACTGTGATCCTCAGGTCTCAGCCATAAGCCATGGGCACCTGGCTGACATCTTTTTAAATTCAATTATATAGTTCTTTTGTAATTGAGTTTTATCATTTTTTTTCTATAAAATTTGAATATTAACCACTTACCAGATACAGATTTTGCAGTAATTTTCCTAATCCATTCACTAGTGTTTCACTTACTGATTGTTCTATCTTGCTGTGGAAAGAAGCTTTATACAGTAGTGTGATGGATCAATCCATTTTGGCCCTTGTAGCCAGCGTTTTCAGATGATATGTAGGAGTCCATTGCCAAGATCAGTGTCCAAAATAATTCCCCTGTGTTCTCTTACAGGTATCTTATAGTTCCAGGTCTGCCATATAGGTTTGTAGTCCTTTGGGGGCCATTTACGTGTGTTGATAAGGTCTAATTTCATTGTTCTATATATGGTATTCTGTGTATGGAAATATATGTTCACTGGCACTAGTTAGGAAAACTTTCCCATTGTGTCATTTTGGTGCTCTTGTTGAAAATGCATTGACTGCATATGTGTGGATTTATTTCTGAGCTCTCTTTTCTCTTCCACTGATAAATATATCTGCTTTTATTCAGGTGACTGAATTTTTCCATTTAGAAGCATTGTTGTAGTATCTACCCCTCTTTTGCAAGGCACATTGTTTGTTCTTGTAGATAATAAAGTTATGGAAAACTTGAAACTGAGGTCAAATGCCAATTTAGATTAGATTAGAATATTCAAATATGATATACCCTCCAATGGACTGGAGGTGTCATTGGGAAATTTTGTTTTCATGATTGTCTAGCTGTTCTCTCAAGCCATTCAGGTTATACAAGTATGCAGACAGTAAGCAGTTTTAGGGCCGCACATCATGACATGAGGATCATCAAAGTTACATGCATTTGTGAAGCTATGTGATGTATTCCTCACTGTGAGAAAAGGTCTTGCTTAGTAACTTTCTGCCTCTACATCCTATGAGGGCTTTCTTCATTTTTGTCTTAAAAGCTATTTACATTTTTGGGGGGGTTTTATGACTCAGTTTATCCTTTATACTTTCCTTAGATGTTGGGATGCATTTATGGGTGACTATTTTCAAATTGTTCTTGCCTGAGACTTTTTTTGTCTTTTTCAGTGAGATTGAGCAAAGTATCTGTGATAGTTTAAAACTATAAGCAATAGGTTTCTGCATTCCTGATTATTGAAGAAGCTTCCCTCAATCCTCTGAGCACTAGCTAAGTATACTGGTGCCAGCATGATATACTTATCTTGTCATTTCAGTAATGTGGGGCTGATTTAATGACTTTCATGTACTAATTTTTAAAAGATGCTGCAAATATAAATAATGAAGTCATTTTACTACTTGTTTTAAAAGTTAAGTGACAGTTTGTAATCCGAGCCATCCAGGTGCCTGAGATCCGAGTTTAGCAGTAGAAATCCAGCCAAGGCAGGGAGGTCTGTGAGATTCTTGTCTCTAATTAATCACCAAAAAGCTGAAAGTGGAGCTGTGATTCAAGTGGTAGAGCCCTAGCCTTAAGTTAAAAAAAATAAAAAGTGAACAACAAAAACAACAGTTAAGTGACAATGACAACGCACTATGAAATGATGTTATAATTGAATCATTTGAAAATCTTTTTTTTTTTTTTTTTGTCAGTCATGGGGCTTGAACTCTGGGTCTGAGTGCTGTCCCTCAGCTCTACCACTTGAGCTACAGCATCACTTCCAGTTTTTCTGGTGGTTTATTGGAGTATCACGGACTTTCCTGCCTGGGCTGGCTTTGAACTGTGATCCTCAGATCTCAGCCTCCTGAGTAGCTAGGATTATAGGCGTGAGCCACCGGCGCCTGGCCTGAAAATATTTTAGAAATAGACCTTGTCATGAACCAATTGCATCAGAATTTTGAAGTACTGAATGTAACTATTTTTCAATACTCTCAAACTGTTGATGCCCAACAACATAAAACAAAATAAGCAGAACCCACTAAAACTTAATTTCTAAAATATATAACTTAGTAGATTAGTCCCTTATTCAACATTAGGTAAACAATTTAAAAATTCTTCCAGAATTTTTGGATTGCAAACAAATCTTGACAACTTGACTTTGGTTTTTAATAATTCATGATTTTCTTAGTTCAAAAATATACCAAGATGGTGTTTAAAAAGTAAATTTGAATAATAACTCATATAGCCAGTGTTAGCTTTCATTATATCTCATGTCTTTTAATGTTTGTGTGAACACAAGAAATAGAAAATATTTTTTCCTCTATTATTTATGTGTTTTTATATAGGACTTCTTGAAGGAAAAAAATCACATTAATAAAAAAGAGAAAAAAACCTCAGTAATTTAGTAACATGTATTATCTCCCTAAAAATGAAAGTTAATATGGAAAAATGACAGATCTTCTAAATAGATCTGAGCTGTCCTACACTTCAGGCTTAAAATCATCTTCTCTAAATCAAAGGAATAATAGGATGGAAAAATCCCCAAGTAGGATAACTATCAGGAAATTCACTATAAAATAGAGGTGAAGTTTATTATGCAGACTTGAGTCAATGCCCTCTCACTGATGAGTCTCTAGTGATCTAATCAACCTCTTTACAAACTGAGATTTCCTTTATAATATCTCTTAAAAGTGAGCCCTAGATACCTCAAATTATTTCAAGAACAGCTTCTTCATCTGGAGTTCTCAAAACAATAAGGTCCAAAACAATTCTTATGCTATAGAAATATATTTGTGGTCATAGATTCTCATCTCCTACAGTCATGTTTTGGGGTGAGATATCTATATCCTTACATCCATCCAAAACTGAAAGCAGAAGGGTGCCAGTAACTCACACATGTAATCCTAGCTAGGCAAGAGATCTCAGGATAGTAGTTCAAAGCCAGCCAGGGCAGGAAAGTCTGTGTGACTCTTATCTCAAGTTAACCACCAGAAAACTGGAAGTGGTGCTGTGGCTCAAGTGGTAGAGTACTCTCCTTGAGCTGAAGAGCTCAGTACCCAGACTCAAAGTTCAAGCACCATGACTGACAAAAAACAAAAACAAACAAACAAACAAAAACCCTGAAAATAGCTTTTGCATTTGTGATCATATTTTTAAACTGGTTTTCTTCCTTAACCCAGTTTTATGCAACTATCAGTATTATTTCAATTATATATATATATATATATATATGTATTTGTACACACGTATATATATATATATATATATATTATATACATTGAATTTTCTTAAAATGATACAATCATTTAATAAAAGCTTTAGTTCCCTAGCTTCAGATTATTTTGAAGAGTTCTCTGATAAATAGTATGAAGTCATGGAGCAAATATTTGTTATTTGTTTTTATGTAATTAACTTTATGTTTTTTCTGAGGTTTTTCAGAGAACCTATAAGTTAAACTTGTAATTTGAATAACTGTTCCTATCTGCACAAATTTTGGTGTATACACTATCAACCAGTGATGAGAAATCAAAACTATTTCCAAGAATAATGGAAATAATGATATTTCTGTGTTATTTATTTATTCACTTATTCTTTGATCTGGCCAGGGTTATGGTGGCTATATTGCATCAATGATCTTAAAATCAGATGAAAAGCTTTTTAAATGTGGATCCGTGGTAGCACCTATCACAGACATGAAGTTATATGGTGAGTATATCTTGCCGACTGATCTAATCACATATATTGATTTGTAGAAAAGAATATCCCAAACCAGAAAAGCTCCATTTAGTTCATTCATCATGTCTTATTAAAGTCTGTTTGAGTTGTTTATCACATCTGTGATTCAATTGATTTAATTGCAGCATGACAATTAAGTTAGAAATATTGAAAGAAATAATGGATTTGGCTATATCTTTTGGTTTATTCTTAACTTTCTGTTTTCTTGGGTCACAGCCTCTGCTTTCTCTGAAAGATATCTTGGCATGCCATCTAAGGAAGAAAGCACTTACCAGGTAACTAACTTACAAGTAGCAAAAAGCATTGTTTTGTCTAAAAATAAGCTCAAATTGTTTTTATGTAAAATTTTTAAATATAGATATCTATGCTTTCTTTTGTAGGCATCCAGTGTGCTTCATAATATTCATGGTTTAAAAGAAGAGAATATATTAATAATTCATGGGACTGCTGACAGTGAGTATTATCTTTGCTGCTACTGCTGATTGAGACCTGACCATTTAGGATGGTATACATCTTGGGACTACTTTCCAGGAGCCTTGTAAATAAATCTGCAGAAGAAGAGAGCAGGAAGTATCTCAGCCACATGACAAGAAGTAGAAAGAAGAAATACAAGGCTAAGAGACAAGGAGACCACAGCCTCACATGGCACAAATGCAGAAATTTTCTATGATGAGAGGAATGGCCTGTCTGTGCTGGGGAACATAGTAGCCACTGGCTACTTACAACCATTTTGTAATTTGTGTTTATCAAGACCAAAGCATACATTATTTACTTAAAAAAAAACAACATAATTCTAAGCCAGGCACTGGTGGCTCACGCCTGTAATCCTAGCTACTCAGGAGGCTGAGATCTGAGGATCACGGTTCAAAGCCAGCCCGGGCATAAAAGTCCATGAGACTCTTACCGCCAATAAACCACTAGAAAACTGGAAGTGGCGCTGTGGCTCAAGCAGTAGAGCGCTCGCCTTAGGCTGAAGAGCGCAGGGACAGTGACCTAGCTCAGAGTTCAAGCACCATGACTGACCAAAAAATAATAATATAATAATAAAATAGCCAAATGTGTGTAATGACCATGTCTACAGTATTATTCAGCACACCTCAAAAGGATATATGATAAAATGTGCGCACACCAGATGAAAGATGTAGAGATCCCTCACTTCAATGAGGTCATTCACTTCAATAAACAACAAAGATGCTCCTAAAAGGAATCTGTAATGCCTCTCATTGTTTTCATCCCCTTAAACATGGAGAACGGGGTCAAGTGATATATATAGTTACATGGAGTTGTTTTTTTATTTTGCTGGTCATGGGGCCTGAACTCTGGGCCTGGGCGCTGTCCCTCAGCTCTTCAGCTCAAGGCTAGCGCTTTACCACTTGAGCCACAGCGCCATTTCCGGCTTTTTCTGTTTATGTGGTGCTGAGGAATCGAAACCAGGGCCTCAAGCATGCAAGGCAAGCGCTCTACCACTGAGCCACCTTCCCAGCCCCATGGAGTTGTTTATAGTCACATGAAGCATTCAGAGCTCAAAGAATGTATATCTTTATCACCTTTTGTGATACTTTAAACAGAAGGCTGAGAAGCTTTAGCTCAATTCACTGTTGACAAAAATCCATTTTAAAGAAAGAAACATCCATCTGAGGATTCCTAGAAACTGAATGGAGAGAGTCCAAAGCCTTAAATTAGTCTCCTAAATCTTGAACTATTTTTTTGGTCCAGCCTGATCTGCTTCTGTATTTTTAGCCAACAGAGAAAAATCACTGAAGAGTGCTTTATAAAAGCAAAAGCTTTTCAAACATGTCAAGCTATGATTAAAACAAAGTGTAGGTCAATATGTGTGTGTGTGTGTGTGTGTGTGTGTGTGAGTGTGTACAGGTGTTTGCAACAAAATGCCAAGGGACAGATATCTCATTGAATTCCCTACAATTCTACAATTCTACCTCCTACAATTCTTCTGCCAAGTGAAAAAGGCTTACATTAATAAAAATATATTATCTGTTTAATATGTGTGATAGATATGTTATAATGCAAGTAAGACTTTATTAATATGGCTTATCACCCAAAATCCATAACCACTCTCACCATCAATGAAATATTAGATAACCCAAAAGAGGAAGACTCTAGGAGTATTTGAATAATACTCCACAGAACTTATGAAGGTCAAAAAAATCAAACTCACATAGATCAGAGGAGATTCAGAAACACAATCCATATATGTGAGGTGCTATTCTGGATGGGACCCTGCCAAAAAATGAAAACAAAAACAAGGAAAAGACCATACACTGGTGGCTCATACCTGTAATTCTAGCTACTCAGGAGGCTGAGATCTGAGTTTTAGGGTTCTTCAAAGCCAGCCGGGGCAGAAAAGTCCGTGAGACTCTTATCTCCAATAAACCACCAGAAAACTGGAAGTGGCGCTGTGGCTCAAGTGGTAGAGCACTAGCCTTTAGCTGTAGAGCAAGGGACAGCACCCAGGCCCAGAGTTCAAGCCCCATGACTGACAAAACAACAACAGCAACAACAACAACAACAAAAACACAAGGAAAATAATAATGGACATTTAGTTAATAGTAGAGATTGATATTGGCTTCTTTATGTGACAGATGATATCCCCAAATAATGTAAGACCTACAAGTAACTGAGACCTACAGGTACTGTTTGCATTCTCTTGGAATCTGAAACTGTTACAAAATTAAAGTCTATCCATAAAAAGAAAGATGTGATACAATGCTTAGATTTCATGAATGCAAGAGAATATGAGACTTTTGAAGGAAAACTGAATTTTGCTTTAGGGTATTAAGACATTACATATAGGTCAATACACTCATGATGCTTTATATTGATTCATTTATTTCAGCAAAACCATAGTATACTAGGTGTTACTACTTTCATATTTTATTGATTAGAAAAATAAATACTAAAAGAAGCATACAACTGTTAGTAGAAAGAGGTTTCAGTTAACTGAAGTTCTTATTCACCAAATACTGAAGTGTTGGTCATGTGATTACATTGTCTTCTAATTTATTTTGTCTCTAGCTAGCTTGCTAGCATGTTTCAGTACTATTTTAAATTCCTTTATTCACACATGCTTGCATTATGGTAATTCATGTTGTTCCTATAAGAGTTCAGACTCATTCAGTTCCAGTCTTGCTACTCAACTATCTGAGAAAATACAGAGATTCAGCACTGATTACCTGGGAAGAATCACACCTGAATGAGCACACACATACAACACTTAGGGCCTGGTAGTCTACAGGTGCTGAACCAAGGACATTAAAATACTACTATAATATTACCTAGAAAAATTACAATCAGTTTACTCAGAGAGTTAGGTTTTAACATTCCTACTAAATCCCAAGGATTTAGTAGACTTCAATAGAGCATTAGCAGAAAACATAATCCAATTGAGAAATTCACCTATACAATTGTCTTTGAGGTGTGTTCATACAGAAGTATTAATGGAGTTCTTTTTCTATCTTTTTTTTATGAAAACAATAGGTGAGTTACCTAAGGAGTTAATTTACCTGAGTAGTCTCTCATATCAATTCACATTCATGGAAGCTTATATCAACTAAGCAGTTTATATTTATTTAAGTTTTCATAGTGATTTTTCTCATTAGGTTTATTAGGAGACTCTTGAAAAAATCTTGGGCTTATTTAAAATAAGGTTAAATACTTATTTGAAATTGTTATGGTCTGCTATGTAGTACGATGATTTGACAACATAGAACTTGAACATTAAAGAGTTTTAAACTATTTATAAATTTTCCATAGTTATATAAAACAAATACAAATTGTTACTTTGGAAGCCACTTGAAGATGGACATAGCACCAAGAGGAATAGCCAATTCTCACACCAGCAAACAATAGCACAGACATATCACTGGCTGGCCAAAAATTTCATAATTACTTCAGTCAACACCATTCTTTGTATTTGCATGTGTTCATGCAGAAGGAAGGTAGAAGCAAAAGGGAGTAATCAGTATACTCTACACTCAATACGTAGCCCTAAACTGATGGAGAAATTCTGTTCTAATATAAAATTGTAAAGCAAATTGTATCTGAGAGTAAATCCTAGTAATCTTCACAAAAGATTAGAAGGCTGTTTAGATGTATTAATACTAATATATATTTACTATGTTGAAATGTCTATAAAGTATGAAATGTGTGAATAATTTGAAAGAAGAATAAAAATATATCTAAGTAGCATCCCTCTACAGTAAGTAAACCTTAGTCACAGTGGTTTAACTTATATAATGTGATGTGAAAGTAATATCATGTCTAATAGATTTTTTTGTTAAAATCAAGTATTAGTCTTAGAAGCATAGCATGCAGGTAACATACTCATTATCCTTGAAAAAATAACTAAATAAAACTGATTCTAATAAAATTATTTCAAATATCATAATTTAATTTCTTACAGCAAAAGTTCATTTTCAGCACTCAGCAGAATTAATCAAGCATCTAATAAAAGCTGGGGTGAATTATACTATGCAGGTGAGTCACGTTTTCAGATGAATGTTGTATTAGCTCTCACACAAACACCTGAGATAATCGACTAATAAAAGGAAAGAGTTGAACTTGGCTCACAGTTATGGAGGTTCTATCCCATGTGATCTTAGACTTGAAGCAAGGCAGTACATTATGATGGGAAAATGGGGGATAGTACAATAGCCCCATCACAAACCAGGGAGCCCCCAAAGGGAAGAAGTTGCTGGAAATACCATTGATGACCTAAAAAAACTCCTACTAGGTCCCACTCTTGGAAGTTCCCCTGACTCCCAAAAGAAAGAGAAACTTTGAGTACCAAGTCTTTTAATCAGAGGTTTAAACAAGACATTCAAGGCCCAAACCATTCCAAAAATATTTTTAACCTTTTGTGTGAGTTTATTGTTTTTCTCTTTATTGCAGAATTACTCCTTCTTGCTTTTTCTTTTCTTTCCTACTAGTGCCACAAAAAAAAAAATAGCTTCTTTTATTATTCCAATTTCACTGTTGTTTTCTAATATGATTTTTAGGGAACAAAGATTGTATGTTTTGCCCTAATTGCACCAAGAATGTGTATCAGAACATGCTTTATCAGAACATGCTTTATAAGTGGATTTCATTAACCATTTAAAAAAGGTCTCCTTTTTCTTTAGCCTTCTATTGTTACAATTATTGAGTTTTTCTAAAGTAATTTTCTGTTTCTTTTATGTCCCTTTTATCTTTTCTCTACTTTCCAACAGTCTTTCCATGAAAAATAGGAGGGAATCAAGTATCTGGAAGAACTATTACAAGAAAAAATGATAATATATCACACTACCATTTAAATTATGTCTTCATACATTTAACAAATATTTGTCAAAGACCTAGAGTATGGTATTAAATATGCTGGTTGTAAACAGGACCTTTTTAATGCTATCAGGAAACTTTCAGCTTGATGGGATCATAGAAAAATAATAATTTTAATTTCTCAACATTGAATGAATTCAGTCACTTTCTCATTGTTGAGGCAAAATATCTGAGGCAGTCTATTGAACAATGGAATTATCTACTTTATTCTATGGGTTCAGAATTTCTAGTCCAGGGCAGTTTGGTCCCAATGCTTCAAGATTGTTGTGGCAAAGTGTATGGCCTTTTAATTTCATGCTGGCTTGGAAACAAAGGAAAGACAAAGCTAGAATGAAAATATTCTCTTAAACAGGCACGTCCTCATGATTTGGCTTACTTCCATTCGCCACATCTAAAGGATCCTCCACTTCTCAATAGAGTCACAGGAAGAGGACCATGCCATTAACCCTAGGGCTTTGGTGAAAACATTTAAGGATCAAACTATAAGCCTATCAATTGTATAACTCACACCTGTAATCCTAGCTACTCAGGAGGTTGAAATCTCAAGATATCTGTTCAAGAATAGCCCAGGTGAAAAGTTCATTAGACTCCATCTCAAAAATAACAAACAAAAAGCAGGATTGGAAGTGTGGCTCAAGTGCTTTCTCAACTACTTGCCTAGCAAGCATGAGACCCTGGCTTCAAACTTAAGCACTGAATAAATAGATTCAAACCATAGCACTCTGCCCTGGCCTCCCATCATTTGATAATTCCAAAAATATTTAGTCCATCTCTAAGAATCCTCAAAGTCTTAACAGTTCCATCAGAGATGAAAAATCCTTCTCTAAAGTCTCTGTGAATGAACACAGACTCAATTGTGAACTCCTGTAAAAGAAAAGAAGAAAATGACAATAGTAAGATACGATGGTGGGACCAAGTAAATGTTGGCATTACAGTGAACTAATAATGAATTGGATCAAAACAAGATGAAAACCCAACAGAATATATGTTAAATATTTCAACACCAAGCCCAGCATCTGAAATAGAGTTTACTCAAGCTCCATCCTTAGGTCTTTTCTGATTACATGCCCCATGGCCTGTCTCTTTGTCTGGCCTAGCACATTCTGCAACTTTCCTATTCAGGTATTACAAATTCCTGGCAACTCTGATCTATAGGGTCTTTATTGTACTCTGGCTTAATCTCACAGCTTCATGCATCACCTTCCCAGGTGTTGCTTGCAAGGATTGTGAACCTTCCACAAACAGACTGATCATTCAGGCCTTCATTTGAAATATGATGGATGCCTCCATGAGCTCATAACTCTTTTATTCTGGGAGCCAGCATCATGTAAATGACAACATTTTCTGCTGTTAGGGTTGTGGAAACCTATATAGCACTGGTTGGCTGAGGAACAAATCTCTATAAAACAAGTCCCAAGAAAGCCTTGTGTGAGCAAGATGAAGAAGATTGTCAAACAAAACTCCTAGAAAGGAATTGATACCTTTTCACCTTTGAGCTTGTAGGGGAGGGGTTTTGCTGGTTCCTAAGATGTCTTCAAAGGAGAAGCAAGTGTGCTACACACCCAGTGGGCCCAAGATATAGAAATGTTCTCTTCTTTGATGTGTTCATTCAATAGTTGATCTCCCTGTTCTTAAGAAAGATCTTCCCTGGATTGTAAAACTGGCCATAGGATAAAATAAGATTTATAGCCCTGTCAAAGTAGCAAAAGAAAATGTATAATTACAAGCTTTCTGAAGTAAGTTTTCTAAGAAAAGAGAGGTGAAGAGCTATAGCCAGGAAACATCTGTCCAAAGTTCAGTCAAGCAGAGAGCACTATTCACCCTAGCATAGTTGACAGACAAATGTATAGTTTTTAATATATTTTTTTTCTCTTTAATTATACTTTTTTGACTGTGAGTCAAAGCCAGGCATATGTATATGTTAGGAGATCAATCTATAACTGAGCTGAAATCTAAGCCACTGATTAGCTATTTTTTTAATCCTTATGAAAGTGAAGCTAAAACATGGAATGCTGATGGATGATGGCTGCTTTGATTTTTTAAGTCTACTTTCTCCTCCATATCTTAGGTCTACCCAGATGAAGGTTATAATGTATCTGAAAAGAGCAAGTATCATCTCTACAGCACAATTCTTAGATTCTTCAGTGATTGCTTAAAGGAAGAATTATCTGTGCTACCACAGGAACCAGAAGAAGATGAATAATGGACCCTGTTTATACAGACTGTAGGGGACATTGTGGCTCAATGAAAACTAAAGAGACTGTCATATTGTAGATGCTCCAGAATTTCAAGGACAGCTTGAGGAGATGACACTGGAACAGCACACTCAGACAATGAACTAGAACTTGAAGACAGACATCCAAGTCTACTTGTTGCAAGGGTACAGAATGTGTTTCTTTGTAAAAGGAAGGTCAAAGAGTTGGTTTCCTGGGAGAAATTAGTTTCACATTAAAGTAGGAATAGTGCATGTTTTCTTCTGTTATCCCCATTTGTTATGTAACTAGTTGCTCTCATTTTGATTTCAGTAGCCACCATTATCTTTGCATATGATGCACAATTCATCATCAGTACTCCAGTCCTTGATCTTGATGGCTGAACTGCAACCTAACTCTTTACTGTACCTTTATAATAAGTGCAATTCTTCACTGTCTATTATTATGCTTAAGAAAATATTCAGTAAATAAAAGACAGAGTATTTTATGTAATTTCTGTTTATAAAAAGGACATTATTAAATGAGTCAAAGGATCTATAGAAATTTGGATCTCAGTAACTTCCAACGTTCAGCCAGTTATCAGTAGACACAATATCTTTAAATCAACACATGAGTATATGTGTCACTATATTCATATATATATATATACACACACACACACACATGTGCATATACAGTCAGTGAATCTATTCTTACATGTTATTCATACTACAAAGGGTAAACTCTTGATGAAGTAGAAAAGATGATCTTTTACAGGCTATAATGGATGCTTTGTTTAATGAGCCAAATATGATGAAGCATTTTTTCCAATTCCAATTGCTATTGCTTTCCTATAAATGCTTGGGTTGTGTTTGGTATTGTTTTTAGTGGTTAATAGTTTTCTAGTTGCAATTTAATTTTTTGAATATGATACCTTGTCACATGTAAATTAGATACTTAAATATTAAATTATAGTTTCTGATAAAGAAATTTTGTTAACAATGCAGTGCCACTGAGTGCTATTTTGCTGTTTCAGTGGAGAAGGCTTTTTTAAAACCACATGGTCCTTTTACTTCTGTCTCTCAGTGCAGTCAATTCTCATTTTCATTGTCAAAGCAAAGATATGGGATTATGTCATCTTCCTGTTCTATTTAGTATTTCATGCCTGCCCAATTCATCTGTTGCTGTTTAATTTAAACCCTTCTGGTGAGAATTAAAAATGAAGTATTTTTTATTCACTGGCCCAAAAGTTCATAGACAGCAGTGTTTGCACGTTGAATGGAAGGCACACAGTGCATCAATTTCTGTGCTTTATTGACTTAAAGTAGTAAATAACAAGAGTGAAAAATAAACTCTACTGTATGGAGTCATTTTAAATCATGAGATCATTAACTTTAGTGACTAAAAAATAAACGCATCTCCCCCTTTATGTGAGGGATTATCTGAAAGCTAACTCTGTAGCCAAGTTTTGACATTCAGAAAAATCTATACAGTGTACTGCTCTCATGGTTGAAGACAAAAGTGTCTAGGGGAGACTGGTTTATCATGTCCTGAAAATGCCAGGAAAAGAATTTTAAAAATAGCAAGAAATCACTCAGTCACCATTTTGCTTTGTTAAAGTATCAGTTAGCAATTTGCCTGTTTATAAATATGGAAATATCTGACTGGGTCTTCCATTTTATTCTGGATGAGTTGGAATTGTGACTCACTGCTTCATTAGATTCAATTTAAAATGGAAAGAAAGGTCTGCAGAAAGACCCATTCCAGGTCTATTTCAAGAAAAGTAAACACGTTTTTTTAACAAAATCAGTTGTAATGTTTAAAGGGAATTTTTTGCCTATTTTATTAAGATGGAATTTTCTTTTTAGGCTGATTTGAAGTCCAATGGAAGCTTTTTAATCAATATTTTAGATTTCAACCACTAGAGTTTTTTATGATGCGAATAATTATGTTGTTTGAAAGATGTGGTTTTATTGAATGTTTACTTGAGTAACATTTAAAAAGTGTTTATCTTTTACTGTTCATCATTTCTCTTGCTTTATTATTATTATTATTATCAATGTTTATCTATTTTTCAATTAATTTAATACAGTTTGTAATGTGAAAGACATTTGTCTGGGACCCACTTTCACCTTGAGGGCTAAATGGATCCTAAATGAAGCATATTGCTTAGAACGAAGGTAGACATTTTTTCATTTATGTGATTCTTAAGTTTTAACAACTGGGTCATCTTAGACAAAGGAAATACACAGCAAATCATAGTCTACTACTCACAAATGGAATCATTATAACTGTATTCCCCTTTATATTTTTGCATCAGTTTTAATCCCATGAATTCATATATATGCATAGTAAGTATTTCCAAAGACTCCAATGACAAGTTTCCCAAGATAAACTAAACATTCTGTAACACAAGAGAGCAGTACTTACTAAGTCAGAGATGAACACATGACCTTTGAATCTATTTTGATAGAGAAAATTATTTTTCCTCTCAACTACCACTTAGACAGTGATCATCCTTGCACTTAAAACCAAAAGAGGTTTGCTGATCAGCTCACTGAGGGTCTCCTAGATGCCACAGGTAACTCTACTATAATAAAGTGATAGAAGAACTGCCCTTAGTGTATGGAGAATCTTTTCTACCATGACCTTCAGATGCTGCAGAATTGTCTGGGAATGAATTGCTCATAAGTCACTAGGGTCAACGAAGGAACATAGCCCATAAAAAGAGTTCCATATGAAGTACCTATTGTCCTTCCTTTTATGTTCTGCTCACCTACCCCTCTGGCAGCACCTGCATTGTGAAAGGTGATCTGGGCTCTCGTCGGTGCTCTCTGATTTTCACATTCTGTTCTGAGGTTTCATTGACACTAACATTGGTGACCTGCTAAAATAAACAGATGGATCACTTATGGACTACAAACCTACATGAGAATAATTATACAGAGCTGAAACCCAGTTAATGGAGGCCAGTAATAGGTGACTGTAATTTCTACTTTCAGAGGCTATATATGATTCTTAGAAGGCTCTGTGGGTCCCAGTATAGACAGTAACACACCCTTCTATTTTTTTTCTTTTCCATTTTATTCTTTTCAGTCCCATCTCCTATTTCTTAAAATAGGAGAAACAAACTATACAGGCACCAAATGATGTAGGTCCTGCTTTATTTGAAAACGTGTTCTTCCTTTCTTTCTTTCTCTTTCTTTCTTTCTTTCTTTCTTTCTTTCTTCCTTTCTTTCTCTCTCTCTCTCTCTCTCTCTCTCTCTCTCTCTTTCTTTCTTTCTTTCTTTCTTTCTTTCCTTTTTTTGTCAGTCGTGGGGCCTGAACACTCTGGGCCTGGGCGCTGTCCCTCAGCAATTCAGCTCAAGGGAAGCACTCTACCACTTGAGCCACAGCACCACTTTCTGCTTTTTTTGCTTATGTGGTGCTGAGGAACTGCACCCAGGGCCTCAGGCATGCAAGACAAACACTCTATGACTCAGCCACCTTCTCAGCCCCTGTTTCTTTTATTTTTCTGTAAGAGCTTATTGCTGTGAATACTATGGAAAATAGAAACAATATTATTTCTTTCAAGATGTAGATAAGCTCTTTCTACCTAAATATTTTTAAACTCATATTCTCTACCAAGCTTATGCTAAATCCTCTAAATGTATTATCATTCATTCTTCTCAATATTCCCTGAAATGGTTACTAGTGTTCCAATTTAATACATAATATGCAAGTTGTCAAAATTTACATAAATTTGAGCATAAATAAATTATATCTTTAAATAGACTAAATTAGACCTCCAGCCCACTTAAAATCCATATTTTCACCAGGCACCAGTGGCTCACATCTGTAATCCTCAGGAGGCTGAGGTTTAAGGATTGAGAATTGATGTCAGCCTGGGCAGAAATATCCAAGAGACTATATCCAATTAACAAGAAAAGGCCAGAAGTGAAGGTGTGGCTCAATTGGTAGAGGGCCAATCATGAGCGAATAAGGTGAGTAGGAATGTGTGGCTCTCTGAGTTCAAGTACTGGCATTATACATACATACATACATAGAAAAATCTATGTTCTTAGTCATTATCCTCTATGTTACTCCCTTCCTAATAAAACAAAAAGATTTAACTCACTCTCATTTCATTTGAGAAGGCATGCCATCCCGTATATTTTGGGGAATGCTTTGGAAGCAATGAGCAATGATAGCTAAATATATTGCTATAGCATACTGGAAGTTACATGAACAAGTTCCTTAATTTCAAGAGGACATATATCTACCTATAACATATTTTTTTCTGTTAGAAATATGTAAGAATTGTTCCTATCAAAGCTTTTGCTCTGATGACCATGACTACATACCTGGAGAGTGACTAGTAAATTCCTTTGTTCAGGCATTATGCCTAGGACATTCCAAAGTCTTTCCAGGAGACACACTATAATAATAGAAACATTGTGTTGATCAAAATGCTCAGGCTTGTAAACATGACAATCTTATAAAGCATTTATATGCTATGCAATCTGAAAACATACGATAGTATATAGTCATAGCAGGTACTGACAAACCTATTCACAATCTGACTTTAAAAAATGTTACCTACCTCTTATCTGTCACTGTAGGAAATAGCTTGGGTTTGCCATTTATCAAATCTATTAACAACTATTTTATTTCATTTGCCAATATTCCAGCAGTTGTTGAGCTCCCATATTTGAAATTAAAAAACAAAACAAAACACGTTAACTCAAACGTAATGCAGAGAGACTTTAAAGTAAATAATTCACACTAATATACTCTTAATTTCCTTAAGCTTGGATTGTCTGATACAGCATCATAGATTTTTTAATTAAGCCATTTAGGTACTAGGACAGTTGATTATCACACGCTGTCTATGTCTTTCACCTATCACTATTTTTTCCTAGTCATATTTGACAGGAATTAAACTTAAGAACACAGAGTGCGCTCCTGAAACTTGTTCTCTACTCTGTCATATAATCCCAACTAATCATAAAACCAAACAAGAAAATAAATCAACATTCAGAGAGGTGGAATAACTTTCCACCATGACACACTGTGTGGAGTAAGAAGGTAATGACTGCTAAGTCCTCACCTGAAGATAGTCACATGGATGTGTTTTCTAGCTGGTTAATTC